GGCCATAGCCTTGAAGAAAGAATCATCTATGGAGTAGAAAATAGTAGCACGTTCCTGGAATGCAGCCCCAAATCACAGCGAGCTCTGGTCTATTGGCAATTCCAGAGGCGAAATGAAGAGCGAAAAGAAGAGGTACAGGAATGAAATTGACTGGATTATTTCTATCTAACACGTACTAAGTGACCTAAGCATGGTTGACTGAGGGAGAAAAGAATCTTTATCCATTTCTTAACCCAATCATAGCTCATGCAATAAACAAGTATTCACTGAAGGCTGATTATATAAGAGGCTTTGTGCTAGGAGCTGGAGAAACAACGGTGAACTGTAAGAGTTTTGTCCCAGGAGTCCTTTGGGGATATACTTTAGAGTCTTCTTTTTCTCTTCCTGTGTTATCTATGTGGCAATTATGTTAGCTATATTTTTATACAAAAAAGAAAATCAAATCCTCCTACTAATTTTAACTTTTGTTCGATTAACTCCACTATCCAAATGTATATTTCTTTCTCTATTCAGTTCCACCTCAAATGGGGAAGGGAGCTATCGGGAAGGGAGTAGTAGATTTAGGATGAAGGATCTAAAGACCCAGATTGAACTCTGACATGAACTGTGCATGTAGCATCAGGCAAATCTTTCTCTTCAGTGGATACCTTTACCCTTCTGTGAAATTAAAGAATTGTACAGAGAAAATCTCAGTGAGTACCCTGAGCCTTAAAAGCTTTTTAAAAGCATTAAGGGTAGCCAGATTATGTGGGTGATTTGTAAATGCATTATGTGCAGGCAATCCTACAAACATAATCTGAATATAAAGGTGAAAATCCTCTCATTATCTTTTTTGACAGTTGAAGCAGCCTTTAAATATGTAATCACATCATACAAATGTCAAGGTTGATTTTATACATTTACTAGCTTAGGCTTTCAGAGATCTCTGTTGTAAACTGTATTCAAAATAAAAGTAAGGTTAGATATAGTCAAGAGCATATCTTCATTTTTATTTCACACCTAAGACCTAGGAAATTGAATAAATAATTAAGTATGTAACCCCATGCTTTTTTCTGCTTGCTCAATGGCTGATTTTTGTATTTTATTTTTTTGCAAATCTTATTATAGGTTCATTTTGATGCCACACTCATTTCTAGTATCATGGTTCTGTATTTCCAATTCCAATATTTAATGTTAACTTTTAAATATTTATATACTTTCTTTGAAATGTATAAAGTATATCTTTGTGCTTTCCTATTACCTTGCATATTTTAAATTATTGCAATGTGAAATTGTATTAAAACAATTAGACAACCCATATTTTGCAATGCATCTGAACAGCAGTTGACAGAAATTTATAACAATTTTTTCCGATGGGAAAATGCTATCATACCTCTTAAGCTAAAATTTTATTAACTGTTGAAATGTGCCTGAACGCATAATCTAAATTTTTACTGACACCGAATCTCAGAACTTATATTTCTTTTAACTATGCGTGTTTTAACTGTCCTTGTTTCCTCGACTAGATTCGAGTGGATGATCATATCATCAGAACTGAGCAAGGTCTTCTCCTGCGCAGCCTACAGCGGAAGGATTCAGGCAATTACCTGTGTCATGCCGTGGAACACGGGTTCATGCAGACTCTCCTTAAAGTGACCCTGGAAGTCATTGACACGGAGCATTTGGAAGAACTTCTTCATAAAGATGATGACGTAGATGGCTCCAAGACCAAAGAAATGTCCCACAGCATGACCCCTAGCCAGAAGGTCTGGTACAGAGACTTCATGCAGCTCATCAACCACCCCAACCTGAACACGATGGATGACTTCTGTGAACAAGTTTGGAAAAGGGACCGAAAACAACGTCGGCAAAGGCCAGGACATGCCCAAGGGAACAGTAACAAATGGAAGCACTTACAGGAAAACAAGAAAGGTAGAAACAGGAGGACCCACGAATTTGAGAGGGCACCCAGGAGTGTCTGAGCTGCGTTACCTCTAGAAACCTCAAACAAGTAGAAACTTGCCTAAGACAATAACTGGAAAAAAATGCAATATACATGAACTTTTTTCATGGCATTATGTGGATGTTTACAATGGTGGGAAATGCAACTGAGTCCCACCAATTATAAATTAAGTCCATGAGTAACTTTCCTAACAGGCTTTCTTCCTAATACCAACATGTAATTGAGGTCAGGTGAATGCAGACGTTCACTTTAGCAGACTTAATGTTTCCTATGGGATTTCATTGTACAGGTTTCACTTTCTTCTTTGCCTGAGAAATAAAAACGTCATTTGCCATATTGCCATTTAAGAAGAAAAATTGCATCAGCAAAGCCATTATTGAACTAAAACTTTAAAATAAACTGCATGGATTTAGTAAGCTGATGAATATTCCAAAACGTAGTTGGATTCAAGGATATTTTTTTGTCTACCAGCACTTGTGTTTATATGTACTGGAGGAGTAAGATGATACTGAATGAAATGGTCTGTGGAAATATAAAAACATAAACCATCCATCATCCAGAAGAAAAATGGAATACACTGATCTACTACTGATGTCTTCTTTCAGCTTTGATCTAAAGATGTATTTTATTAAAACTATAATTTAAATGTACCATGACAAATATGCAGTAAAATTTAGCTCTTTTCTAAGCTAGAGTAGGTTTTTGTCTTACAATAATTGCGCTATATAGTTTTTGTTTTAAAAATTCCAATTGTGTGCTGCTTTTTTTTCAACATTTTGTTTGCAGTTCTGCAAGAGGGATAGCTGATACTGTTTTAGAAACATATGTACATCATTAACAGTTAATTCCTAAAACCCAGATGTAAATTATGCTTTATGTCTCTGAGGATTTCAGGCAACTAACACCTCCCCTTCTTTAAGTATTATCTAAAATAATGTTAACCTGCAAATGTTCTTAGAAAAACAAAGCATTTAACCAGCAAAAAAAGGAAAAGAAACAAATTGATTTATTAAATGCATTTTGTTGTACCTAATGGATTAATGAGAAAAAGAACTGCATTTTTCATGAAATTAATAAGCATTATCTTAATATAATATTAATAGAGAATGTCTCTTAATTCTGTTCTTGAATCCCTACATGATGTTCCAGACATGAAAACTCTATCTTTGTGATTCTATTAGGAATTACATCTGTGTCACCTAATTGTTTTAGAAGAGAGAGGTCAGTACTATTCAGAACAACATCTTAAAAGCAAATTTCTCAACTCTGTTTACATTTGTATCAGCTGCCTCTTATCTTGCATCATTTAAGACAATTATATGTCTAAAGAACACTAATTCTTTTCATATTGATGGGAGTGATTTTTGTACAAACTATTTTCCAGGACACAACTCATACTTAAAACATGTAAAGCTCTTTGTCTCCTGCAACAATTTATATAATAAGGTAAAAGATTATTAAGTAAGGGCTTGCCTGCTTCATTGTCCTCAGATGATTTCTTGAGAATCATTGACATCAAGATGTAAAAAAACCATCAGCATTTCAATAGTTTCTTTTGCACTATATTCACCTTGCCAGGAATCCCACCCTAGGTCCTTCATCATGCACAAAAATGCCAAAACGAAACAAAACAAAACAAAATCCTGTTGCTAATGAAAGCAGCACTGAAATTCTAACTCTGCCATGGTATTCTAATTAACTCAGCATTAATTTTCTCACCTCAGACTACAGTGATTTCTAAAAATTCTCTATCAGCTGAAATATTTCACAGATGGAAGCTCATGTTACAGTTTTAATGATTACTTGGAATAAACCATTTGTTGACACTTGTTTGAAATGAAAACTTAAAAACTTTATACATTCAATTTTAGGCTCCATTGATTAATACAGTATTACTGTTAGAATTACATCCTCAAATGGTTGCTGAATTTTAAATTATTTGAAGAACACACTCATGAAGAGAAAAGAAGTTTGAAATATCAATCAAAGAACAAAGAGTGCTCCCAAATGGGCCATTCTTCTATATTTAACAGCACTAAAATTCAGTGTTGCATTTTATTCTAAATTTGCAACCAAAACAAATTTATTTGCAATAACAGAAGTATCTTATTTCTTATTAGTCTTCAAAAATAAGGGATTTGAAGGGATTAAGATTACATACTAATTTAAGGGGTATCTCCCAATATCTGAATGCATTCTGTTTAGAGTTTGGAAACACCCGTAGAAAGTCTAGATTTCAATGAAAAGAAATAAAAACTAACAAATCTACTGGCATGTCTTTGTAAACCATCAGGTCTAAGTTTTCAAAGAAAATTATAGCTATTGACTTGCAGGTAAATAACTCTTATTACAGTCATAATCTTCTGCCAGTGTGTATTGAGAGGGGACAGGTTGCACGAAAAATAATGTCCCATTTAGCTTTACTAGACTTTGGCATATGCATGTATCATCAGAGTTGAAACTATGTTGAGAGACTCATGTGAGATTGAGCAAATCAGGACAGCAATCTTTAAAGTAGGATAAAGGTACATCTCAGCAGAGAAATCGCGGCCCAGTTAAAATCAAATGTAAAATGTAAATGCATGTAAATGCACACTTAATGCTACTTTTTATGTATTATTTAGTGCTTTTCAATGGTATGTGTTTAATATTTTTGCTACCTACACATTAGGCAAAGGAGATGTAAATAATTTTGAAAAGAAGAAAACAGTGTAAAATGCAACTTTTTATAGGTACTCTATTTCAGTGTGTTCAACATCATCATAAAATGCCAGATTTTCCCACACAGGTAACAAGGTGGTTGATGTGCTATTTAAGGACAGAAGGTGTGTGCCCATTCAATAAGCATGTTTTTGCCAGGTAGTAAATATGTTCCATATCTGTATTTATCATTGCATTTCAGATAGGAACTAGAAAACTGGAGAGAAAATGTAATGAAACTGCTGCTGTAAATTATTCCTTTTAGCATGTATGCAGTTGCTAAATACACATTTCTTCAAAATATTTGAATTCAGATGTCTTTACTGTTCCCTCTAGCATATGGTGTCAAGGAATGTAAGTTTAGAAAACGTTGAGAACCAGTCAGGTTGCTACATAATCAGCTAGCAGCTTTCTTCATTGTCGTCCTCTGTAAACTGGGTTCTATATTTATGGTGATGATGTGAATTCTTATGCCCTTTTAAATTAAGTATTATTTTTATGTCATACCTAAAAAGGAAATATGGAAATGAAATCCTATAATGTGTCATTATCATAATCAGTGTGATTTTATTCAGGATCTACAAAGATGCCCAATAATTGTTATTAAAATTGCCTATCCTGAAGGTCATAAGCAAGCATTAATATAGAGTGTGAATAGCATAACAGTTTGAAATCTTTGTTTTATTCATTCATTTTTTAAACACAATTACCTTTTTGCTTTAAGGGAAATCTATCAAGTTTCATGGCTTCCTAGACACACTTAATCACCTATTGAGTTGTAAGCTTTTAAATATATACTGGCCTGATTCCAAAGATATCCATGCTTTTTATTTTAACTTTGTAATAATTATTAAAAGTCAGTGTTAGTATTTACAAAATACATGTCTCCATAAAGAAGGAAATATTATTTTTCAAAAAGTCTGCTAAATCCTATTAGTTTATTTGATTTCTAACAATTGTCTTATACTAGTTAATTACAGAAACATACTTTATTAAGTTAATATATTAACAGGATCTATAAATAGAAGAGAGAATGAAGCCACAGAAATGGTGCTTCATATTATGTGGCCATGTTCATTCAACCTGACCAAAGAGAATAACTTGATTTTCATTTCAAACATGTAAGCACCCAAAGGCAGGGATAGCAAATCAAACCAAACAAAACAAAAAGATTTTGAATATAAAGAAACTGGGCTTCCAGACGCATTGCCCTTTAGAACCAGATTCCGACCTGTTTGATTAAATTCCATGGATAGCTCTTGTCTGGCACTGGTAGGCGATTAAGACACTAATATAAGTGAGACGTAACCCCTGTCTTCAAAGAGCTCACAAGGAATTAAAGGAAACAGTTATGTGACTTATAATCATCTAATCCAGCAAGTCTTTCCTGACCCTCCTATCCCTAGATTAAGCTAGCCATCTCCTCAGCACTAAATTTGTGTCTTGTATATATTTTTGATTGCCACACATCACAAAGGTGTAATTTTTTTTTGTTTATATCACTGTCTTTTTTTTCTAGACTGTGAGCTCCTTGAGGGCAGGGTTCATTTTTTAAACACAATTACCTTTTTGCTTTAAGGTACTGCCTCCAGTACCTACCATGATGCCTGGCTCAGGGAAGGAACTCAATAAATCAGTGTTGGAAAGAACCAGGTGACAATGTGTTCCGCTCCAAACGCAAACTCACAATAAAAGCTATGAGATCTATTGGGAGAGAGGGGTTAATTTTGTGAGAGAGTTCATGGAAAGCTTCAAAAAAGATGTGACATGCAAGCTATGAATTGAAATGCAAGACTGATTTGCCCAGATGAAGTAATAGAAAGGAGATCTGGGTGGAAGAAAGAAGGAGCCTGGAGGAGAGATGGGAAAAATGCTTGTATTCCGGGAACAAGTATTCCAAATGGATGGAGCATGGGGCTCATAAAGAAAAGTGAAATGCTCCACTGCTATGAGTCAACATGGTGCATTTGTTTAGTATTTCCTGGATGTTGGTTTATTGCCCTCTATTTGTACTGCCATTCTCATCACTGGCATGTGGTGTCATTCACTCTTCTTCCTTGTACCCCTACCCACTTCACTTTCCCTCCCTATCTTCCCTCTTCATGTTGACCTCTTTTGTCTTGATTCAGCTGAAGTCATAGCACTGGGCAGTGTTCCCACAACCATCTTCAAACTAATCTGTGTGCAGTAATCTCCTCTCTGGGTCAAATGACCATGCTTTAGCTGGATTTCAGAATTCTGCAGATGAATGGCTGAGAGAAGACAGCTTCATCAGGTTGATTCGTCTGTGCTCATTTCAACAAATAGTTTCTCTTATATGCACCTTCCTTCAGCATTATCTCACTCATTTAGTAGTATTGGACTGCTCAGCCTCAGGTTCCAATGTTGCATTACTGATTAGCAAGGTGACTCACAAAGATTTTTACCAAAGACAGCATTAAAATATGAAGCCTGTATTTGTTCAATGGGTACCCTAGATGGAGTATTTCATGACTAAACAATTATGCAGGTGAGGTTAGCGCACATCGTTGACAAGCACAGACTCCTATTTTCACACACACACACACACACACACACACACACACACACACACACTAAAAAAAGAGGCCTAACTACATCTTGAACTTATCAGCTCCACATCACCATTATATTAGGCTGTCAAGTTTTTTCTCATATAACAAAAAAAAAATGTATTTTATTTCTCTTTAAACATTATACTTGTAGACACACTATTTAGTACCTAAGCAAAAGTTTTCATAAATGTGTCTAAATCATAACAATTTGGGTAATTTTGAAGTCTTAATTTACAGCTTTTCTTTGTAAATTTCACTGAAGCATTAACTACAAGTAAATGTATTTTTAAAAATCCTTGTCATTTGTGTAGCAGTCCAGTTCTTAATGCTTTCTTTCATTCTTTCTTTTTCATTCCTTCCTTCCTTCCTTCCTTCCTTTCCTTCTTTCTTCCTTCCTTCCTTCCTTCCTTCCTTCCTTCTTTCTTTCTTTTCTTTCTTTTCTTTTTTGTTTTGATAACTAATCCAAAGATGCTTAAACTTTTTTAGACAAAGTTGTGTGTCTAAAACCAAACAGCTTTTCTATTGTACTTCAGGATTTTTTTTTAACATACCTCATCTTGAATTTCAAAAAGAGAATGACAGTTTCATTAATCCTCAAACATTTTTTCAGGCAATGTTTTAAATTGCTGATATATGTCAGCAAATTAATATAGGTCTCAATATGCCGTAATTCAATAAATTGTACTTGAATTTAAAGACTGACAAAAAATGATAAATCTATGTTTCAAGTTTGCATTATTGGCATCTACCAATTTCAG